TTGTTGAAAAAATATTTTTACACCAATTTCTCAACTATTTTGTTCTGCCAATACTGCATCATTAAATATTGGAAAGCATTTAGGCACAGTTTTATTGTACTGATGATTTTTTTATTGCTGATGAATATTAATTTATGCAAATGAGATGAATTTTTTAACTAATCATGTCATGCAACTGCCCTCTGGTTTGAATTGATTTAAACTAAATATGCACTGGAAAAGCAAGCTTCTAAAATAAAGAAAATCTTGCCAGATGCTTGAAAATGAAAATAAAAACTATCATCTCATATGGTATTACATTATAAATAATAAAATTTTACTTCAGATTCCAATTCCAATGTTTTATATACTTATTCATTGTGCTGTAAACTTTCCATACCACGTCAAGTTATCTTCTCCATGGGCCCATCCATATGATTGAATAGTTCCTGGTTGTAAAAACAACATGCAGTCTTACCACCGCTGTTAACATTAGTAGATGATAGATTTAGAACTGGAATGTCTGTGGGGAGTGTTTTATTTTAAAACATCATTGACTGTTGAGTTTGGATGAGTAATATTACAATTATGTTGATATATCTATAGCTTTAAAAATTGCAGCGTTCCAGTACATTTATCAAGAAAAATATGGAACATCTGAAATATAACATTAAGATCCAAAACTGACTTCTCGACACTAGTATGACCCAATCAGCTACCATAATTAAAAATTACCAATCAATTTACTCGCTAGCCTAAAACAACACAACAGAATATGTTTGTAAACGAACATCACATTTCAACAATCTTTCAACTACTGTTGGTAGTGTCTGCAGTATTGAATGCATACTCATTCCCTCAAAATGATCTGTCCATCTCTAGTTTTGCACTACATATTATGAGATGCCACAATCTGTACTTGACCCTAATGCTTACATGTCTACATATTTCTCTGGGTAATATAATCATATTTTAATTACATATTTTATGTATTCAAGTTCAGTACTTAATTATTTACAGCATTTTTGGTGTTTAAAATTAAAATGTTTGTGAAAAATGAACATGAATAAAGTAGGAGTATTAATCATGATGGAGTTTGATGGAAGTAATTATTTAAATGTTTGGTATCCGATTAGTGTTATTATTGTAAGTGATATATCCTTGCATTTTCTATTTTTGAAAGCATATCTCAGTTAAAATAAATATGTTGTAAAATTAGTAATAATAAATTTACAAATGCTGCTCTCAAAGCGCATGTGTTAATAGTAATTAGTGTTGAATACATCAATCACGATTATTAAACACACCAGGAGCTAATACAGCAGAGTGGAAAAGATGCACCATAGTAAGGCAACGTATCTACCCTGGTAATATTTTTCGGGTACATGTACAATGTATGTCTGTATCCATGCTTATATTTTCACATACCGTAGCTTAATGTACCCACCACTTTTGAAAATATCTTCCATACACACAAACACCAAACAAGGCTATGCTGTCTTACTGTATTTGATATGGTGATATGCTGCATCATATGGGTGTAGGATACACCACATACAGTTGTAGTATTGTTTACGTATGCAAAATGTTCACATTATTATCATGCAAGAGTATACATTAATTAGTATTTAAATTCCAACAAAATTCCCAAAGTGAATCCTTGAGTTGAATGTTGCTTGAGAACACCATCAAAAGTTTTGATCATCAAAAGATTTTAATTGATCGTCGGCATAAATTTCACCTCGCTGTCAGGATTGGTGCAACATAATCTTTTTTATCATAAACAGATTTCATGATTGGTTTATCATTTAACCAGTGTATGCATGTCGAATATCAAACACTATTTTATACTATAAATAACTGTAAAGCTTAGATCTTACAAAGTAATCTTTGAATATAAAAATTGATTATGAACAAAGAGTCATTAAAAATAAAATTGATTTTAGAAACTTTTCAGGGCCTAACCCATCCACCTCTAATCGGCATTAAAGTAGATGGGTTTTTTTATCAGATACTTTTTATGTGTACAACTAGAATTCCAAGGTACTTTCTAGTAGCACTTGCAATGAGAAACAATTCCATTTTATGTGACAATCCTTGGTGATGAGATCATGTGAGCAAAAGCTATCCATCATATTTTCAGAGACATCATAATGAACATGCCAGATATGATGGATGCAGAGTTGGAGATCACAAATTGATATCAAAGTTGATTAGATTGGTACCATATCTCATTAACGAATTGGCTTTGACTCTGTCCAATTAACCTGTGTATCACTATTATTGAAAGTTGTTAATAAAAATCGGTGTTCATAATCCGACTGCATTATGACACTGTGATAGAATGGACTCTGAAACCTGAGGATTACCCCAAGCTATGTTATCCATATATAATGAACTGAATGCATACTACAAGTCGCATGGACTCTCATGAAGAATTTCAAAATAGCATCAGTTTTATCAGGTTAATTAAGACAACTATTTTAAACTTACCATAAAAGTTTTAAATTAGGTGAATCTACAATATCGTATACTACGGTAGTACATGCATAGGCAAACAAGCCACAGAGACTGTAATGTACCATGTGTTATGTCCTGCCATCAGTAAAGTCCTGTAAACATTCCTGATCAGTGGATTTAACCCAAATTCATAATTAAATTGCAGTAGTTCGAATTAATGCAGCTCAAAATGTCATATTTTACAAAAAAAAGCTTACAACTTCTTCATTTAGCATTGTTTAAAATTGGCACTCATTGTGTCTAGCCTTGGAGTTGGCTTGCTATAAGTTCTCAGTTGCGATTGGAGTTGATGGCATTTGCGTTTCAGCATTGTTAGATGGCTTTATTTAACCCTGATTCCTTATTCACACTTGTATTATCTTTAGCAGATTTTGATTTAGTACTGAACTAACTAACTAAACTAGACTGAGTAATAAGCTGTTCACACATGTTTTTGTCATATACATGTACACCATAAAATCTTGGTCACCATGTTGTTTGTCCCAGTTTGTAGTCAAGCTTAAAATAATCTCTGCAATCCATTGGTCCACACAAACCTGCCTATTAAGTACCACATTCCTCATCTACTCATACAAACAACAACAGGTGTTAAAAATACATAGTTTTTTTTACATGAAATTCCAACCTACCTATGCTGCAATGATGACTGCATGTTTCACTTCAAATTGTGAAATTCTATTGCTGAAGTTTCATAATTCAAATTGAGTATGATTTACCTTTAGTTATAATTTTCAAAAAGTTTTTGCAGTTCAGCTTTATATATTTTCTTGTTGAAACTTTCCTCCAACTGCACTTTTGAGATGATCAAAATACGTGCAGGAAACACATCAGGATAAATAAAATTTATTTCTGAATGAGTCTTGTCTACTCCACATTTCAAAAATATACCTATAATGAAAATAATAATCCTAATGCTTGTCTGCTGTTTTTCAGTGAAATCTATTTGCTCCATAATTAACAAACTGCTTTCCACGCAAATACATTGTGAGAAGCACTATGGCATGTATTGTATTAATCTGGCTTTTGAGACTTGTGGTCAGGCCTTTAATTCCAGCCTGTTCGTAAGTGTAATAATTGGGTTAAGCTATATAGTGTACGCAAGCATTATTAGACATTACTGGGGTATTTTGTTACAGTACAGTAATATAAAAATGCAGACATGCCAAGGATTGCTTTGATGTTTAATAATTAGGAATTGCCTTTCATTGCTTTGTGAAGTCGCTCCAAGGGCTGAGTTAATCTGGAAATTCTCTCAGACTTTGTAATAACGTCACAAGAGATTGGCCAATATACGTCTAAATCTTTATAAGAAATGCCACTGGAAAAATCAATAGTATCACAGTGTTTTGATTTGTAATGATACATTTCAATAGTCAGGTTATGTGATTTCAATGTTGAAAAATTGAATTTTTAGACTCTGTACAAATCAATGTAATTCCTTTATAGACAACAATATATGATTTGCAAGGCTGTTCTTTGTTTGTATTGTAACATAACTTGTAATGTGTACATAGAACTGATTTCTTTGCATTGTGTACTGTAAAACCATTTAATTTTACATATAATTTCAATGTTTTAATGTTGTAAGCATATTCACTGGGTTTTAAGTTCATGAATTTGCCCAAAAAACAGAGCTCTGTTGTAACTTAACATGTTCATGAGGATTTCATTTAGCAAATTATAGTTACCCCGGTAGCAGCAAAAATAGAAAAATTAAAACGCAATGAATAAATAATTCTTTTACAGTATCAGTACATTTAAATAGCACAAGAAAACCTTTGAGAAGTCAGACTCTTTCATGTAAAGCCGTTCCTGGTGCCGTGAGGCACTATGTTATTTTCAAATTATATATCTCACTGAGTGCCATCAGATACATGCCAAGTCTCTGTTGTCTGATGCTGCATTTATAACCATTTTTAAGAATATCTGTAGGAGGAATGTGAATGCATGATTTATAACAGATGAAATGTATCTAAAAAAAAAAAAAAAAAAAAACCACTATGGGTAGCTGACTAAGTTGGTTAACCCTTGCTTGGCTTTATATTTATATGTATCTTACTGTTCAAATAACTGTGGTGGTGTATATTCTCTATTGGTAGCCATGTGCTTATGTTAAAAGACGGGGGTGTATCTATTGTTAAAATAAGTCATATTGCAATGACCCAGTATGAAAAATGTAGTGTTTGGTTTATATGCTTTCTAATAAAAATACACTATCCATGCAGATATTTTGGTTTATTTATCTTCTCCAGATTTCAGAACCCTGGGCATTAATTATGTTATTTACATTCACATGATCACAGTAGTTTCCTTTTGATTCATCTGGGCTAATACCACTCCAAACACATAGATAAAATACCAGATCTTTCCACATATATCAGGCTAATTTATAATCCTTAGTCCCTGACAGTAATCTCCAAAGGTGTACATGTATTCTCACTATTCAAGCTAATTCAAGGAGTAAATTAATTTTATTGTCACTGTCTCTCTTACATTTGCAGGTACCTGGTGGCACATCGGATGTCTCTGATGATGAGTCAACCCAACAGTCGTCTGAAAACGCCACTTCACCAGTACAGATGCAACATCAAGTGGAGAAGAGTATAGACACAGACAAAGGTAACAAACTTGAATGCTATTTGAGATTCTTGTATGTGTGTGAACGCTGGCATAGCTCCAATGTGTACTAAATATATACTCTTCCATGCTGGTATTTTAATACCAAGTAGTTTTCCCAAATCATGTTCCCTCTATTATAACAATGATGATAAATGCTTTAGATTTTGTTTCTGTATTTCACACATGTTAATTAACAACTAATATCTCATTTTCTGTTGCTGGTAATACAGTTCATGATGCATTTTTTTTCTACCTCCAACCATGAAATACTATAAAAATAGTACATGCCATTTTAGAGAATGTGGCTCAATGAATATTAGAATCTTATTCAGCTAATGTGCCAACAGTCTTATTGTGAGAATATACTTCTTTCGAATTTGCAAAAATACATGGTAGCTAAATGAACTAAAATAATTTGTTGGCTATTAAAAAGACTTGTTTTATAGTGTGTATCAAGGGTCTGAATTAGTATGTAAAGTACAATCTAATCTCTCATTCTACTTAGAGTTATTTCCATTTATCTAATACATCAGGATATATTACAGTTAAATCACATTCCTGTCGCTTTGACTGATACCGGTCATTCTATCACATGGCTTGGTAGACCTCTAGAGGGCGCTATATTATGTTATTATGTTACTATTGATGTTAGGAGGGCGCTATTACATATTTAACCATTCAGTATGTACTGTATAAAGCTTACGTAGTCCGAAAACGGGGACTTATGTTTTGACTTCCGTGCGTGCGTGCATGCGTGCGTCCTGTATCTTAGAAATGCCTGGACCAATCACAATCAAACTTCACACATACATCATAAATGATATTATACATATGCACGTCAATTTGTTTCTTGATCTGATTCAAGATGGCAGAATAGCGGCCATTTTTGTGCTAAAAATCATCAAAAATAAAGCATTTCTCGGCTATTTACAGATGGATTTTGTTCAAACTTGGTATATACATTAGACATTATAGGACCTTGATGCACATCATTTTGTTTTATGATCTGATTCAAGATTGCCGAATGGCGGCCATTTTTGTGCTAAAAAATCCTAAAAATCAACCATTTCTCAGCTGTTTACAGATGCATTTTGTTTAAACTTGGTATATACATTAGACATTATGGGACCTTGATGCAAATAATATTGTTTTTCAGATAAGATTAAAAATTGCCGACTGGCGGCCATTTTGTTTTAATGAATGTGGTTCTCATGCCATATCTCTGACTTGCTTTCACTGATTATGTTCAAATTTTAAATATTCATTATACATCATGTCATAGATAAACAGATATATTGGTTTGACGATCCTATTCAAAATGGCCGAATGGTGGTCATTTTTGTGCTAAAAAATCATCAAATATCAAGCATTTCTGGCATTTATGGATAGATTTCGTTCAAACTTGGTACATACATTAGACATTATAGGTTCCTGATGCAC